GGGGGCCACGCCCTCTTACCGCCGCACCATCACGGTGTCACCAGGCCCAGGAGCAGCCCCGGCACCACCGGGCAGGGTCACTCGCAGCATCGGCCCCTCCGAGACTGTGACGCGCCGTCTGCACCTTGCCCCCCCAGGTGCTACTGGAGAGAGAGCTAAAGCAGCTTAGCGAGGCGCTAGACGAGGACATGAAAGCCATGGAGACACAGTGGGACCCTCGCGAGGTACCCCCAGCTCTGCTGGGCCAGGCCACGTGCCGGGGGCCAGTACCGCTCGCGCTTCCCTCATCCTCTTCTCTCTCCCACCCCGCAGGACCCACCGGTACCTCCTGGGGCTTGTGCTGCTGGCTGTAGGAGTTGGGAGGTGGGGCTGCTGGGTGGGGGGATGATTTTCCTCTTGACTTCACCTCTCTTGGCTGCCGGTGTAAATAGCACCCCTAGGTCAGCTCACAGCCCTGAGCTGACATCCTGTCTGCTGCCGGCCCCGTGCGGGCACATGTTGTCTATAGGCAGCCCTGGCTCCTACACTTCCCTTTGAGGCACTGGCTTTTGTGGGAGACCTCCCTGGATGTTCTTTGGAGAATGACGGACCTACCAGAGGCGAACCTCTCCGGCAGTGTTCCCTGTAAGCTGAGCGCCTGGGCGGCCACCCAGGAGGCAGTCAAATGCTGCCCAGCTGATTAGCAGAGCGCCCACAGCTGGCAGTGTGTGTTTCTACGGGTGGTGCACATCTGCACATGATTTGGTGCACATAACAAAATTTATTCCGCACATAGATGGCAAATTAGAAGGAACATTGCTCTCTGGGCCCCCTGCCAACCAGCATTAAGAGGTTCTTGGGTCACAGGGATACAAGGCCACCCTCTCCCCTCAGGCACACTGACTGATCTAGCCAGAGGTTGGGGGGGTGAGCTGGGGCAGGGAGTGGGGCCCACACGCTCACACAACCTCAGTCTCATCAGGAGTCAGTAGCTTGGCATTTGCCCTGTGCCAAATGGAAACGTTGCCAGCAGCTGGGCTCACTGGCTGGGACAGGGGGGCAGCACTAGGGTCAAGGCCACCCTCTCCCCTCAGGCACACTGACTGATCTAGCCAGAGGTTGGGGGGGTGAGCTGGGGCAGGGAGTGGGGCCCACACGCTCACACAACCTCAGTCTCATCAGGAGTCAGTAGCTTGGCATTTGCCCTGTGCCAAATGGAAACGTTGCCAGCAGCTGGGCTCACTGGCTGGGACAGGGGGGCAGCACTAGGGTCGGCCAGCACCGGGCGTACGGGAACGGACCCCTCGACCA